TACCACCCACGGAATGTGCACTACCACCCACGGAATGTGCACTACCACCCACGGAATGCGCACTACCACCCACGGAATGTGCACTACCACACATGCGAACCAACCAATGAACCTTGCACCCACTAAGCAGTCACAATTGTTACTTCAGATACTTGAGTCGAATGTTGCTGGCGTCGAATCCGAATACCCCTACAAGGACTACGTATATAGATTGGACGACGAATACCGGCAAAAGAAGAGCGAGGCGAAGCGCCAAAAGCAGCAGCAGTCTTCCTCGCCCTGACAAACTGCTCACTCGGTTCTGAACCGCGCCTGCCGGACATCGCTTGGCCTCTGCGCGGAACTAGATTCCTGACTGGCTCCTTGGCACTTCACTTTTTCCCAACTGGCCACTGCTTGTTCGTGTACCCGTTGCACGTAGCTGGTCATCGACTCCTCGCGCGTCTTCTCCAGCGTGATCCACCCAAACCGCTCGGCGACGTACCGAAAAGCCGCATTCTGATACAACACGTAACGCGGGTCCAGCACGTCAATCCCGTTGTTCCGCGCCACCATTCGCGCCATCACTGTCTCCACATCCCCGTCCACGCAAACCACCACGCACATCGTCCGCAAAATCTCCTGAATCGCCGGCTCCAAGTGGTCCAGAGCCACTTCCATGCAACGTCGGACGTGCGCGTCCTCGTACGTCGACACATCCAACCCGTCCGGCCCCACCTCGCCCCGCGGCTTCTCCAACCGCCCGTCCGCGTCAAACTGGTAGTGGCCCGTCTCGTTCGTCTGCGCGGTCAAAATGTCGAAGATGATTTCGTACACAAAGTCCGCCAAAAAACAACGATCGTAAATACGACCGCTCTTCAACCGAATCAGCAACCACGTAGAATACAACTTGTTAGCGTACTTCATCCGATACTTCTGTCGGTACAGCGGGAAACGCAAGACGTCCTCACGGTAGTCGCCAAACTCAATCAAGTCCGCCACGCGCGGGTGCGTCATCAACTGCAATAACGCACTCGACTTGCCCACGCACGCCGTGCCGTCCACGTACACGTTGCTCCGAATAATGTCCGGCACTGTCACGATACCCTCCCGCGAAGAGTCCTCGGCCGCGAAATCTTCTTTTCGAGCGAAACCTTGTCGCACGAAACCTTGTCGAAGAGGGCCCTCTCGGGAATGCCCCTGCCGCGGGTGATCCTGTCCATCGTGCGGATAGCTTTCCGCGCCCCGAGGGTGGTCCTGCGGATCATCCTGCTGCTCGGGACCTTGGGCCGGGGTGCGAGGGGTCATTTTATCTATTTTTTGCCACGGCCGGCCCGGTGAGGACGGCGGCGCTGTCGTAGGCCACGTACCCGGTATGGCGCGTTTCCACAGCGTCTCGTGTGGCGAAGCTGCACAGGTCGGGGACCAGCTCGCCGCCACGCCAAAGGGCGGGGAAGGGCACGGGCGTGAAGACCTGTCCACGCTGGTCGCGGATGCGTTTCGCACCGTCCCCTTCGCGCTTCTTGACCCGCAAGAAAAACTGCGTGAACCAAAAGGCCTCCCCGCGCGCCGTGTTGACCGCCACTTGGTACCCGCCGCGCGCGCAAGACACGCCGGTAATGCGTTCGCCCGCCAGAACCGGACTCAGTATGGGCACAGGGAAGGGAAAGGCTGCACGACCGACTACCCAGTAACCCGTTTTGTCCTCGGCTACACCCATCCACGCTGTCACGTCGTATGGGTCCTCTGCGCCGCGCTCCGGAGACTTGTTTGCCGTCTCCGCCTTGGCCTCGCTCTTCTTCAGCCCCTTCACCCACGCCGGCCCCGCCTTCTCCGCCTTTCCCGTGTCCGCCTTCGGTACCTTCGGCCCTTTCGGCTCCTTCTCGGGGTCGACGCGGAGTGCATTGTAGCCGAGGACGGGGAAGGCGCCCCACAGGAAGAGTTGCTGCTGGTCGCCCCAGCCGCGGCAACAGGCGACGGCGTAGTCCCGGCCGAGAGCGAGGTGGTCGAGTTTGTAAGCGTCGTCGCGCAACGTGCCGCCGCCGCCGAACCAGAGGAACACCGGGAACCAACCGAAGTCGGCCGTCTTGCCTGCTATCCCCAACCCACCACTCACACGCCCCACGCCCAACTGACCGACGTCGTTCCGACCCCAAACCAGCAACACGTCCTTCACCTCTCCCGCCTTCGCCCTCAACCACACCGCATTCGTACCACGACCCGCCTCCACGCGCACCACCTGCCACGTCTCACGCTTCACCACCGCCATCAGCTCCAACCATCGCCGCTCCGCAGGCGACACTCCACGCCAACTCATCCGGAACGCGTCCCTCGGCCTCCCAGGCGGAAACGTCGGCGGGTGCTCACCCACCACCAACCCTAGACCCTCATTCAACTTCTCCTGCCGCCGCACCTCGCCCAACGCCAATCGCGGCACCCCCTTCTCTCCGGCTTCTTCCCCACCGGCTCCGGACGCTCCACCAGACCCTCCGGGTCCCAACCCTTCCCTAGGTCCTTTTTCGGACCCTCCTTCGGGGTTAGATCCGGGGCCAGATTCTCCCCCAGGTCCTCCGGCGGGTCCTCCTGCCCCAGCTCCCCCAGGCACAGCCCCAGCTCCGGCGCCGGGTGCCACGTCAACGGGGTTCCAGTGGGTGGTGAGTTCGGGGTCGTCGTCAGTTTCGCTGTCGTCGGGGACGATGACGTCGGGGCTATCGGGTTCTCGCGGCGGGTCGCGGAAGTCGTCGGCGAGGACGCGGACGCGGACGCCGTCTTCGGTGCGCGTGACGAGCACCGAGGGGTCGGTCTCGGCCTTGGCGGCGATTTCATCCGCGCCAAGTCCGTCGTACTCGCGGTGGTAGCGCGCAACGGCTTGCGCGTACGCCTCTTCACGCAGGGCCTCGACGGCCGCTTCGTGAGCATGGCGTCGCGCACGCCGGCGGGCTACTTGTTCACGACGCGCAGCTCGCAGCGCACGTCGCGTGGCCCGACGCTCGGCGGTCTCCGCCTGCCGCCGGTCCCAGGCAGCCTGGTCAAGGCGGCGCTGTTCGCGCCAGCCGCGCGGGTCGCGAGCGAGGCCGGCCTCGCTGTCGTCGTCGGGCAACCGGCCGTCCAGATCGACGTCGAGGCGCTCGAACGAGTTGGTGGCGAAGGGTTCATGGTCGAACCGCGGGAGCTGTTCCGGGCGCCCGACGAGCAGCTCGCGGAAGTCGAAGCCGGGCTCCAGAGCTTCGTAACGGTACTGTTCGCGACGCTGAATGAGTTCGAGTTTGTCCGCGACACGCGGGTGCAGCAACTCGTCAAGCGGAAGAAGTGTGGGGACGTAAAAGTCGGTGGCGGCGCCATCGCGGCGCAAAAGGTGGACGAAGGGATACGCGCCCCAGACGAAGACACGGGAGCCCTCGGTGAGACACAGGACGTGTCGTAGGCCGACGCTATACTGAACGACGCGGCGGCCGCCGTGGTTGAGCACGGGCAGCATCCGCGGCGCGGGCACGAGAAGACAGCGACGACCCTGGCCACAACGACCGTCGCGGTTGTCGCCCCAACTGAAGAGGCGGCCGTCGTTCGTGCGCGCGACCGCAAAGTCTTCGCCGCACTGCACCTCGACGATCTGGAAAGTATAGTCCACCATCCGACTTAGCCGGTGCCGGAAGTCAGGCGGCTGCACACGCCGCCGACCCAAATTCGGCCAGCCCCCCTCGAAGTCCTCCGGCTCCTCCTCGCTCGACGGATGCAGTCCCGACTGCACCAGCTGCCGAAGACTCAGGTGCTCCCGCACTTCGCGGCGGTGTCGCCGTTCCCGCGCACGCTCCTGTGCCCGCAATCGCCACAACCGCTCCGCCTGCGCCTGCGTGTACGTGTGCTCGAAACGAACCAGCGCCAACCCACGCCTCTCCTGGCCCGGCCTTGTGTGCTCAAAACCCAATTGGAACTGGTCGTTCGCGCCCCAGGCGTACAGGCAGCTCACCTGCCCGCCCAGCTCGTCGCCGATCCGCGAACGCCGACCGCGCTCGCGCCAGCCCAAAAAGTTCTCCAAACTCTCCGCCACAATCGCATAGTAACAACGCGTACCGAAAGCCAGAGTTCGCAACTCGAACACGCCCTTCTCCAAATTCAACGCCCGCGTGACAAAGTGGGTACCCGAGCGCGCCAAGTTCACGCAGTGCTCGAACGGGAAGACCATCGCACGCACGTCCCTCGCACCGAACGCACAGCCGCCCTCCGCCGTTCGCGCCAACACGTCGTTCGCCGCTGCCAACGTGCGCTGTTCGATTCGCAACTGTAACTCACTCATGCGCCGCATGTCACGACGGATCTGCGCAGACGCGCGCGTGTCCAACTCCCGGTCCCGCTTCCGATCCTCGCGGTCTGCCTCCCCATCCTCCTGGCC